TTTTGGCTGAATTAAATCATGTAGAACAGCCCTAAATTCTACTGACTTAAGGCAACTGTTTTTTCAGTGTGGTAGAAGGCTATCAAGCTCGGTGCCCTATTATAACTAAGATAATCCCACCTTAGTTAATGGATATATAGCACATCATTGCTGTCAACTAAAAATACTTCTTTTGGTCTTTTTAGTTGCCAGCAGAAAGGGAGTTGGGAAAGTAGTGCATTCCTTAAACATTTCAGATAATTTCTAAGCAACCAAAGCTGTTGGCGTGCAAGACTATTACTGGAGAGCATGATTGATGACTCTTGGCTATGGATGTGTCCCATTGGACAATATACATTCAGGGGGTGGGGGGAAGATGAGGATGAAGGATGAAATGAATGATGTGTCTTAGAGTTGGCTGCACCCAGGTAGTGCCGACATGGTCGCTCCTAATAAATCATTTTTTTTAAACTCTGAGAGATGTGGCTAGAGATGTATGATTTGAATCGGGGTGGTTTGTCGGAGCCCTAACAGCAGGGATGTCAAACTCAATTTCATTGAGGGCCACATTAGGGCTGTGGTTGACCTCGGAGGGGGTTGCCAACTGGGTAGGCGTGGCTGACTAGGTGAGCGTGGCCACCTTGATGCCAATCACCAAACTGCTGGCATGTTTCCTCTTCACATTGGGTAGACTGAGCCAAAGCTACGCTGGCCTGATGTTTCCTCTTCGCACTGGGTAGACCAGGATGGCCCCATGGGCCAAATCTGACCACATTGAGGGCTGAATCTGCCCCATGGACCTTGAGTTTGACACCCCTGCTGTTGTTGTGGTTAGCCGGCAGCAGGTGCGGATGGTGGAGGAGAGCGAGGACTCAGATGAGGGGCCAGGATCATTAGGGAGTGGACTTCTGCCTTCAGAGATTGTGGGGGCTGGCAGCTGTGATGAGGAGGTTCCCGAGGAGCCTGTGCCAGGTGCACGTGTGCGCAGGGTTGCTCATAGGAAAGAGCAGTTACAGCAGCACGGGTGACTCGGAGTAAGGCTGCAAGGTAATGGCCCCTCCTTCAAGAAACTAAAAGCCAGCTGGGAAGAAGTGTTCTTTGCAGAAGGCAAAGACACTCTGAAGCTCAGCCTCGTGGACATTATAGTTGGTGTTTGAAAACTGTGGCAAACTATTTCTTATCTGTGGCTTTTGGGAAGCCTTGAAAAGAAACTTGGCAAAGCTGTTTCTTGTCGGAGCTAATTAGTGGGAAACAGCTTTTTATCTGTGAAGAAACAGAATTCGTAGATGAAACCTTAAAAGGTGGGGGCTGCTGCCTTTGTTGTGTCTTTGCTCTCTTGGAACCAGGTTGGGTCAGAACAGCTGTACAGCAAGAATCCAGATTGGATCTTGTGAATCTACCAAAGAGGATCCAGAAAATGCCGTCTGCTTTTGGAGAAAGAACAGATGTGGCCTTGAATGTAAAACAGGTCTGCCTGAATGTGGGACTATTACGAAGCTTCAGATGGTCCATGAAAAGCATTCAGAAAGCCCATAAAACATGTTTGCGTGGATAGGGCACCTGTGGTTGGTCCTTCCATTCAGTAGAGGTGAGCTCCTTCTATTATTCATGGAGAGAATTGAAATGGCGACCCTCATCAGGTGCATTGGTCAGTATGAATTAGTTACAGTTGTAAAATGCGGCACACTTTTTTTTCTCTCAAATGCTCTCTTTTTGCAGCACTGGAACTGTTCATTGTTTTACGACTGTCACTTTGGTTTGCCTTGGCTTGGAGAGGGGGAATCCCCCCCCCCCAAAAAAAAAAACCAGACTGCCGATTAATAATACAACACATTTATTGTAAGTCTTTTTTGAATCCAACCAGTTTTATTCCCGAAAGTTATTGAAGCCTAACAAATGAATAATAAAAGCATTTAGGATTGCAGCCCGATTTATCAGAATCCAAATAATGGATTTCTGTGTTCATGCCTTTGGAGGGAAGAGTAGCCTTTGTATTTTATTTTATTATTTTATTTTATTTTTTGGACGCGTCTACAAGAACAACCATTTGCAAAAATTAGGAATTCCAATTCAGATAATCAGAGTTGGAAGGGACCTTATAGGTCATCTAGTCCAACCCCCTGCCCAAGCGGGAAATCCTGCACCATTTCTAACAAATGGCACTCCAACCTCTTCTTGAAAGTCTCAAGTGATGGTGCTTCCACAACTTCTGAGGGCAACTTCTATTCCATGGGTTGATTGTTCTTACTGTCAGAAAGTTTCTGCTTATTTCCAGGTTGAATCTCTCCTTGTTCAGTTTCCATCCATTATTCCTTGTCTGGCCTTTGGGTGCTTTAGAAAATAGCTTGACCCCCTCCTCTCGGTGGCAGCCCCTCAAATATTGGAAGAGTGCTATCATGTCTCCCCTGGTCCTTCTCTTCACTAGAATAGCCATGCCCAGTTCCTGTAACCATTTTTCATATGTTTCACTCTCCAGTCCCCTAATCATCCTGGTTGCTCTTCTCTGTACTTTTTCTAGAGTCTCAACATCTTTTTTATAATGTGGTGATCAAAACTGGATGCAGTACTCTAAGTGTGGTCTTACTAAGGCTTTATAGAGTGATATTAGTACCTCACTTGATCTCGATTGTATCCCTCTGTTAAGGCAACTTAGGATTGCATTCAGGGGTGGGATTCAAATTTTTTAACAGCCGGTTCTGTGGGCGTGGCTTAGGTGGTGGGTGTGGCTTGGTGTTCATGTTATTGGCTGGGCATGGCCAACTCAATATCACTCACATCGAGGCACGCATCTCCTCGCCCGGGCTCTCATAATTGTGGGGATGCTGCAACAGTTGTAAGTGTGAAAAATGGTCATGTCACTTTTTTCAGTGCCATTGTAACTTTGAATGGTCATTCCACACAAGCAAAGTACCAGCAAAGGAGGGGAAAAAAACTCCAGAGATGTTCCTGAGACAGGAAGTCTAGTCCTGCCAAGAATGTAATAAGGGTTAACGGAGATGCAGTTTCTGTAAGCAACACCAGAATGTTTCCTTACTGCCTTCCTTACAGGATTAGGCCAGTAATTTCTTCTAACAACCGGTTCTCCGAACTGCTTAGAATGTTAACAACCGGTTCTAGAGAATAGGTGTGAACTGGTAGAATCCCACCCCTGCTGGCTCATATTTAGCTGGTTGTCCACTAAGACTCCAAGATCCCTTTCACATTTACTGCTATTGAGCCTGGTTTCACCCAGTCTGTATGTGCTCTTTTGGTTTTTCTTGCCTAAGTGTAGGACTTTACTTTTCTCTACAATGAATTTCATTTTGTTAGATATGGCCCAGTATTCTAGTCTGTCAAGATCCATCTGGATCTTGAGCCTATCTTCTTGTATGTTAGCTATTCCTGCCAACTTAGTATCATCTGCAAATTTGGTAAGTTCCCCTTCTATTCCCTCATCTAAGTCATTAATGAAGATATTGAAGAGTACTGGGCCTATGACAGAACCTTGTGGCACCCCACTGCTTACTTCCATGTAGACTTAGACCCATTAAGGACTACTCATTGAGTATGGTTTGTCAGCCAGCCCATCTAGTGGTGATGTTATCTATTCCACTTTTTTCTAGCTTACTAAGAAGTAGGTTGTGGTCTACTTTGTCGAATGCCTTAAATTAAATTAAAGCAGTCGTTCCCTGCCTCCAAATATCTGGGACTGGATATAAATCCATTGCCAAGGTTTCGTTACAGTTAAGTAAATAGGTCTAATTACATAGCAAAAATGGTCACTTTAAATCAGCCATGAATCTCGGCTTCTTATTAACATTTTAAGGTAAAAAGGAACTGAGCTATTTCATTTTAGGGTATATTTCTGTTGCTGGTTGTAGCTGTTTTGTGACAAGGCCATAAAAATTCTCTCTCGCTGGTGCTGACGCCAGCAAGCTTTCTGTTTGAATACCGGTGTGCAATTTAGGCTTGTCTTCTGCACACACTGTGAAACATCTCGCCAATATTCATGAATCATTCCAGATGTCCCAGTTCTTTTCCTGACTAGAGGAAGGATGCAGCATTTTAGGGAGCTTGCCTGGACCTGTGAAGGAATATAATACAGCTGGGTAATTCAACCTCCTAATGCAATGACTCCGCAGTAGAACACAAATCAAGAGGTGTCATGCCGCAAAGGCTTCCAAAGTTATTTGTTTGGTCATGATCTGGTGAACATTGAAGAAGGAAGCATTCATAAAACATAGAATTAGGCATTTATGGACATTCTCAGTCATCCAGGTCATGGTTGTTCCAAGGGTGCTTTTTCAAGAGGCAACTGGACTTTCTGGACTTTCAGATTTTTCAGTTGCCTCTTGAAAAAGCACCTTTGAAACATAAAATAATAGAGTTGGAACGGAGCTTGGAGGTCTTCCAGTCCAAATCCCTACTCAAAGAGGAGACCCTATATTATTTTAGACAAATGGTTGTCCGGTCTCTTTTTGAAAGCCCTCAGTGATGGAGCACCTACAACTTCTGAAGACAAGCTATTCCATTGGTTGATTGTGTTAGATCTGGAGGAGTGGGCGCAATAACGGAGACGAGGCATCTATAGTGACTCAACTCAACTCTTTAATAGTGACTTCAGAACAGAACAACAACTAGGGCAGCAGCAGCTCTTTTATAGAGCTGGCTGCTGTCACAATAACCAATGAAATTGAATTAACCGCTCTAAAAGCGTCCAATCAGAGACGGCCCGCTGTCAGCCAATCAGGTCAGCCCGAGGCGGCCAATCACGATTCGCTTATCCGCGGGCCAATCAGAAGTGCAGGGTTACGAGCCTGCTGCTGAAGTAAAGCTAGTATGGTTATTGGTGAATGAGTTTGTTTAGTTCGTAACAGATTGCTCTCACCATTAGAACATTTCTCCTTAGTTCAAGGTTGTTTCTCTTCTTGGTTGGTGTCCAGCCATTGTTGTTGATATTGTTTTTTGTATTGCCTTTTGGTGTTTTGGAAAATAGTTTGACCCCTCCCCCTCTTCTTTGTAGGAGCCCCTCAAATTTTGGAACAATGCTATCACATTTCCACTTAGTTTTTCTTCCCTCTGCTGGTAGATGCTTCTTTTCTTCTTTTGGGGAAAAAAATATTACAGTTCCTTTCCCTAGAAACTATGGAAATTGGATGGTTAAAGAAAAAAATCAGGATGATGGCTATAATCATGTTGTTGAAGCCTTATCTTTGTGAGTGTGTTTGTATTTCTGCATTTGTATGCACTTGAAAGAAGGTGTGGCTTTGACTCAGTGGTGGTATTCTACCGGTTCAGTCCAGTTCTGCCGAGCCAGTAGCAGCGATGACCAGCAAAGACCGAACTGGTTCTCTCCACTGCTCTGCTATTTGGCCCACCCGCCCACCTGGGCTCCCATACTCACCGTTATCACCTGCTTTTGAAGCGCAGTTGCTTTGCACGGCACAGCAGAGTGATGCTCAGCAGCTGCTGAAGCGACCAGGAGAGTGCAGGCTTGCAGAAGGTGAGTTGGAATGCCTCTGCACCTGTGCAAACACCTCTGCACCTGCACAAAATGTGCATTTGGCACACGCACACATGCAAAGTGTATGCACGCGTGCAAAGCGCACCCACCAAGCCATACCCACCGAACCGGTGGTAAATTTTTTTGAATCCTACCACTGCTTTGACTGCATGAAGTGGTTGCCATATTAACTTTTGTATTTTTTTAAACCTTTCTTTTCCTTTATCCCAGATAGCCCTTCGTGAATGGTAAATGCAGCAGGATTAACACACGTTACCTGCGCCAGTAATGATTTATTGTGGAACAAGTTTGCTTCTTTGTTCTAATCTGATACCATCGCTTACCTGTAACTGCTGTATAGTTGGCACCATACCATACCTAGATATTTGGCATGAATTTGGCCCTTGGGGTATTTTTAACTGAAGCAAAATGTAGCCTCGGATGAAACTGGTTTTGCATACAATGTGTGAAGAAGAATTGCATAGAAATAATGCAATGGAATGAAGGTGGCCTGGATGAAGTATATAGAAGGAGTTTGGATCTTTGGCCAAAAGACAGTTTCCAAGCTGCCAGTTGAAGTTTGTGATAAGCAAGTGTTGGAAGAAATATCCATCTGGTTCAGTTCCAAGCTGGAAACATGGAGGCTGATTGGAAAGACAGTTTAATGATGAAGCAGAACCACGTGGGTTTGAAGTCCTAGGCAGCTGACCCCATGGAGTTGAGAGTGGGGTTTTTTTATACTTTCTCTTGGGCTTTGAACATGAGCTTCCTGTTCCTGTGCAAGAACATGTATTCTATTGGCTGTTATCAGACTCCCATGGGGCTATGCAGGGGTCATAGCTGGCTCTGTAGGTTGTCTGAGCAGTTTGCTTGATGTTTCTGAGGGTAATGCAATGTCCTTAGGAGATTGTGCAATGTAGTGAGCTCTGTGTCTCAGTGCAGGGGTCCCCAACCACCGGTCCCTGGACCGGTACCGGTCCATGGAACAGTTTCTACCGGGCCGCCGGTTTGCTGGGCGCCGCCATCTTGTTTTGATGAAAAAGTGCTTCCGGTGAGCTTTTCCGGGTAGAAAGCGGCATTTGTGTGCTGAAAGAATCCTCGCTCCTTAGTTTCATCAAGGGGAGGGGGGCGGCTTCGAACAAAACTAAGGCACGAGGATTCTTTCAGCACGCATGGCAAGGCGAGCTGAGCGACCGTCCTGAAGCCGTCGCGAAGCCCATCGACACAGGTACAAAGGAGGAGTTGAAGGTGGCGGGGACAAGCGGGGGACGGCTGGCTGACCGGTCGCTCGGCTCGCCTTGCCATGCGTGCTGATGCTGGTACCGGGCCATGGATGATTTTGTGATGCCGGTACCGGGCCGCGGCACAAAAAAGGTTGGGGGCCACTGTCTTAGTGGGTTAATCCTATTATGTCCTGGAGGATCATGTCTTAGTTCCTTCACCCTGGCGCTGAAGGTCTTTTGTTTTGTAGATAGGCTGACCCAGTCTTTCTCAATGGGCACAAAAGTCTGCTGAGGGGAGAGAGATTGAGTCTGCTTTCTGTCTTTTAAGAAAAACACGTTTCTCCATTTTTCATTTAGGGAAATACAATATTCTGCCTTTTTAAATATTCCTCAAAATATTTGATTCTTCTGGGTGGGGGGTTGGCTTCCCACTCAAGCATCAGGTCTCGAATTTGTCTCAGAAAGACAACTTGTGCATTTGTGGCAGATAAGACAAGGACCGAGTTCAAATCCATGATTAGCTGTGGAAGGTTTTGAGGCCAATCAGTGCCAGAATTGTTGCTGGGGAAAAGAAGAGGGAAAGGGGTTTTAGGTGTATCTCCTTTGCAGTGTAATAAAGCACTAAGTAATAAATAACTCTTATTCTTCGGATAGTCCTCTATCTGAAGAAAAGTCAGCCAAATGGAATAGACAGATGAGCCTCTAGTAATGGCCAAGTAATGCTAGAGACATGGGCTAGTGGAGATAACATGTTTAAAGAATATAACCTAATCCTAAATCCTGTTTCAGATTTTTTTAAAAAAAATTCTTGGTACTTCCTTTAACGGGTATGTCTACATCAGGGGTCTTCAAACTTGGCAAGTTTAAGACTTGTGGACTTCAACTCCCAGAATTCCTCCTCCAGTCATGTTAGCTTGGGAATTCTGGGAGTTGAAGTCCACAAGTCTTAAACTTGCCAAGTTTGAAGACCCTTGGTCTACATTGAGCTAATGCAGTGCCACAGTGGTAAGAGAGATCAAAAATGATCCTTAGAGACTTCAAGGAAAGATGAAGGAGGAAAAAATACCCCAGCAAAATAATTTCTTTCACCATGAAGTAATCATGGAGATGCAACAAGTTCCTACCCTCTTGCCTTCTGGAAGTTCTTGAAGAGCTGGTTTTTCCCACAAGCTTTGGGACAGCATATTGAATAAGGTATGTTGATGGATGGGATAATGTTGCCTTCAGGGACCATGAGTTTTTATTACAATGGTTTGGGGGAAGGGGGTTGCTGCTTTTCTTGTCTAGTGAACTTTCCAAGGTTGTGGCTATATAAAATATGTGGCTATCTATGGCTATAGACCCATAGATAGGGAGTTTATTGTGGAAATTTGTATCTTCAGGACAGAAAATAAGTCTATTGATGGTTATACTTGGTGGCATCAGATGGAGATGGGTAAGAAATGAGAGAGAGAGAGAGAGAGAGAGAGAGAGAGAGAGAGAGAGAGAGAGAGAGAGAGAGAGAGAGAGAGAGAGAGATGATACATAAAAGATAGATATAGATAGATATAGATAATAGTGATGATATAGAAGAATGAATAGATAGATAGATAGATGATAGATAGATAGATAGATAGATAGATAGATAGATAGATAGATAGATAGAAAGATAGAGATAGATCAGATAGGCAGACAGACATAAAATCAGATTTATAATGTTAGAAGTCTAATGCTTATTTTGGGCATTAGATTCTGTGTCATTTCTACGGTAACATGACTTAAAATGCAGGAGGAGGAGAGAGAAGGAGATCACAATACAAATGAAATATTTATCAAAATAAATTCCTTGGTTTCCATGTGTCTGGTTTGCTGATGGAAATTGTACTGCAGGACTTGGAAGAAGTTCAAACTTGGCTGCGTATCTCCATTTTAATCAGTGAATTAGCCCAGAGGAAGGATCAGGCCAGTGCAATTAGGTGCTGCTAAAGATTAAATTCCTTTCAGATGCCCTGAAATAGTTTTGTCAGCACTGAATGGCAGTGAAGACTAATTATGGGAAAGACTGGTATTTTTTTATTACTCTTCAGTCATTAGGGAGATCCTAATGGATAGGGCTTCAAAGAGTTGCGGTTGAAAAAAAATAATTGGGCTATCATAAGTATCCAAGCAGCGCATATCTGGAGCCCCAAAGAATTTTTTTTAAATTATATTAGCAGCTTTTCTGAAATTACTGGACATGTAATGTATTTGGCTGACCTCCCAAAAAAACAAAACAAAATAAAACAAAACAAAAACCTCTTAAATGGAATTGGAATAGTACTTGGTTAGAGGCAACCAGACAATTCCAGTCTGAAGGCCAATTTATTTATGGGATTTATTTATTTATTTTAAATATCTTAGAAACAGGCAATGACATTTTGTATTGTTCCCAATAAAAAACATGATAGTCAGGATAGGCTCAAATGACTAGAAAACTGCATATTGGTTGAAAATGAACAAGGTATATAGATAAAATGAAAGATGAACTTCTACTTGTACTGCATACAGTTTTTGTTACCATACTATAAAAAAGATGTTGAGACTCTAGAAAAAGTGCAGAGAAGAGCAACCAAGATGATTAGGGGACTGGAGACTAAAACATACGATGAACGGTTGCAGGAACTGGACATGGCTAGTCTAGTGAAGAGAAGGACCAGGGGAGACAGGATAGCAGTCTTCCAGTATTTGAGGGGCTGCCACAGAGAGGAGGAAGGGGTCAAGCTATTCTCCAAAACACCCAAAGGCCAGACAAGGAATAAAGGATGGAAGCTGAACAAGGAGAGATTTAACCTAGAAATAAGGAGAAATTTTCTGACAGTGAGAACAATAAATCAATGGAACATAAGTTGCCCTTGGAAGTTGTGGGAATGCCATCACTTGAGACTTTCAAGAAGAGATTGGACTTCCATCTGTCAGAAATAGTGTAGGGTTTCCTGCTTGGGTGGGGTGTTGGACTAGATGATCTACAAGGTCCCTTCCAACTATCTGTTACATCTATTGCTTGAAATAGGCCAGCAAAGAGATGAGGGGGAAAAAACTATAAAACCATCGTTTAAGTCAAAAGCAACAGAAAGTTATGTGTAAATATGCTTGGGGCTTAAGTATGCAAAATTCTGTTAATATAGCCACTCTCAATAAGAGTAGTTTTAGTTGATTTTTGGGATGGCGTACAGGGAATACTTGACTTATATTTATTTGTTTGTTTGTTTGTTTGTTTGTTTTTGTCAATTGCTTACAAGATAATAGGTATAAGTAAAAACATAGTTATGAATACATGGATACATATAAGAAAAATAAAAGAAACAATAGGACAGGGATGGTAGGCACGTTGGTGCGCTTATGCACGCCTTATAAACAGTTCATTTAGTGACTGTTAAAGTTACAACGGCAGAGAAAAAAATGACTTAGTACAGTTTTTCACACAATCGTTGTCGCATCCTCGTGGTCACATGATTTACATTCGGATGCTTGCAAACTGACTCACACTTATGATGGTTGCCACGTGTTCCAGAACC